AGCCTGAAGCTGGATTCCAATGAAGTTGCTAATGCACGTAATGATTAAGTGTAACTCAAATACTAACTGTGTTGTTGAAAACATGACAGGCAATAATTTGGTCTATTATATTCTGCCATTTAATTGCCTAGTACAGACATTCTCTGACACGTTATGAAGCAATGATTTACAATTATTCAAGCTGCAAAGGTCAGAAAGTGACATTATAATCATCTACACAGAGATCCCCTCTAATGCACAAAAACTAGGTAATACCACACAAAAATAGTTTTACTGGAGTAGCAACTTTCTATTTAAGATTGCCCAAATTGCACAAGTATAAATAATTAATGTACATTACAGTACATTAAGATATCCTTGAAAATATAATGTTTTTCCTGCTCTTACCAATAAATTTATGAATAACTCTTTTTTGCTTGCTAAAAGCAATCTTAAGAGAAGGCTTTCACTAAAAGTAGCCTGATACTAATAGTAGTCAGTTAAAAAAATCTAGAAATCTAAAAGATCTTTTAAGAAAACAAAATACAGGAGTACAGCCAATTTTTTCGATGGGGCTGGTCAAAGTGCACTGTTATCAATAAAGTAGTAAGATATATTAACCAATATACTCGATATACCTTACTACTTTTCTTTAGATGTTCTCAAGGCAACCAGTGTCACTAAAATACTGGGCTTTATACAAATTAAGATCACCAGCCTATTCCTAGCATTAGCAACAGCAGCAAAAGTGAAGTTATATTCATGCTTAGGACACCATAACTCTCTTCAAAGCTGGTTTACATGAGGCTTAAAGAAAACAACTGAGTTTAGCCACAGACTTATTTAGCAGAACACCTTCTAAAAATCTCTGGAGTTAATTGGAAAAAGGATTTTTCACAACACATTGAGGACTGAGGAGTAGCAAGAAGATGGACCCCCCTCTCTACCAAAAACAAACAAACAAACAAAACACACACACACACAAATACCCACACCACACACACAAAGGAAAGATCTACTTTAGCAAAATACAGAAAAAAACAAGACCTTTCCCACCCCCTCCAATTTCCCCTGTATATGCAAAATATGTACTTTTGCTCCTTAAAACACTTGACTACTGCGTATGGAATCAGCATAATGAAGACATTAACACAAATGTCTTGTCATTTTTTTTTTCAGAAACGTAGTAACAAATGTTTATGTGCATGTTTTAAATATTGATTTTTTTCCTAAATATCCAAACCTACCTTATAACCCTCTTCTTCAGTAGATTTTTTTAAAAAGTCATAATGAAAGGAGAGAGGAAAAAAAGAAAGAAGCAGCCACTCTTAGTTGAAACATGTAACTATATCCCCCAAAATTCTATTTCTGAAAGCAAAAGCAAGAAAAAAGAAAAGGGATTGTAGATGCATTTTTAAAATCATACCTTGCCTATAAATTCTGTTCAAAATCTGAGGTGCAGAACAATGCATTTTTTATATTCTACTTGAGGCATAAAATTTGAAAAGTACATGATAAGCCTTTTCACGGCGCTCCACTCTGCAAATGAGACAAAAATTTTAAATGCTGGGCAACGAGGATTTGCTTATCTAACCCAGGGTATCAGCCAATTTCAGAGGCAGACTTTCAAAAATTAAATTCAAATATGCAGCAGTTTGCTACTCTCAGAAAACAGATCCTACCTCTGAAATAATGGGATATATTTCACAGCCATGGGTATGGAAAAGAAAACAATTAACACACATCTGCGATAAGGAAATGAGTAGCAGACTGTTTATTCCAAATGTTAAAACATTAGTGGTGTCCAATTTCTGTGTCATGTAGTTTTTGCTGTGCAGCTGAAGAAAAACAAACCCTGAACTTCAATTAAAAAATAAAATAACATAGCAAAATTGCTGCCTTTTTCAACAACTAAGTGAACTATATATTGTATACTTTGTATCACGTAAATATAAGGAGAATTTGCAAAATTTAGACACAGCAACCCTTCCTCCAACAGAGCAACACGGGCATGACTTTTTTTCTTAAATAAAAAGTCCCAGAGAATTTATTCCCCCCACCCCCCCCAAAAAAAAAGTATTTTGAGACTAAAACCACAATGCACAATGTTGCACTGACATTTCACCTTTAAAAAGTGCCCTAGCATATTCAAAAGCTTTTGAAACATAATTTTTCCTCATAACTAGCAGAGGGCTTATTACTATGAATCTAAAAGTCAGAGGATAGAATATTAACTACTGCAGAAAAGAAAACATAGTGCAGGACCTTCTGTTTGTGACAAAATTACAGAGTTAATGTTCCTGAAAGATCACTTCACCTTTTAAAGCATGATTTTTAAAAAGGTAAAATTTATAGCAATTAAAGCTAATGAAGAAATGCAGCATGAGCTGCTTATGTTCAGGAACTAATAGGTCCACTGAGCATTTCTAAGATTATTTAGCCATCAATGATAATGAATTGACATTGTCAGTGGTGTTAATGTACCAATGCTCTATAGTGCCACTAATCCGATAGCCAATCCTAGCAATTTTTTTTTTTTTTTACATTGCTACTTTATTTTTTAACCTACGGACTACCCTATCCTTTCAATTAAAACGGCAGAAATACAGCACAGGCTATTAAGACTTTTCTCTCTTCTTCCACATTTAAGGATGGCATATTCATTATTTGGACTCCAGTTCAAACTGTTCTGGTCATTCCTTGTTCTTCAAATCCAGTTGAACTCTTCAGGACTGTTAGCTACAGCATAAAATATTTTTTAACCTACGGACTACCCTATCCTTTCAATTAAAACGGCAGAAATACAGCACAGGCTATTAAGACTTTTCTCTCTTCTTCCACATTTAAGGATGGCATATTCATTATTTGGACTCCAGTTCAAACTGTTCTGGTCATTCCTTGTTCTTCAAATCCAGTTGAACTCTTCAGGACTGTTAGCTACAGCATAAAAATGTCTTTTCCAATTAAATCAGTGTTAATACATAATTCTTAAAAAAACATTTTTGGTGCACTTTATGTGAAATATGATGATTATTTAAACTGCAAAAGGACTAAACTGGCATATAAACCAGATTTTTGTAAGCAGAGGGTATTGTGGCATACATCTCTTCAGCTGATTGTTTTATCATATCTGAATAGCACAGCTTCATGGTGTTGATGAAAATTAGCAATACAATATTGCACAAAAATGAAAAACGCATACCTGTTTGGCTACCAGGACGACATGTTAGCGTCACACAGTAAGTAATCAGCTTAGCAAAGCAACTAACATTCAAGTCCACAGTTTCAACCATTCGTATATATTTTGCTCTCTATTGTATTAACAGTCATACAACAACCTAGGGTCATCTATTTTCTGAAACAGATTCTAAGAAAATGTCAACCCTTAAATGAAGGAATGAGTTTTTGAAAAATTAGAAACTATGCCAAATCTTAATCATGTTAATTCTCTTTTCATAAAAGATACCGTGTTTACTATTTTGAGATTTTTGCCTCTTTCTCTTATGATTACATAGTTAAATAATAACGATGATTTCTTCAGTTTAAGTTAAAAGGGAATTGAATAAAGAACCATTGTCAAGTTTGTTGACAACTTCCAAAGAAGAGAGCTTAGCCTTCGCTGAACAGCTTTGTGGATCTGTGGTTGTTAACCATCTTCCATGCCAAATTCTCTGCAGTTCATAAGGCAGAGACAGTAAAGAATAAGTTAAAAATAATAAAATAAAATAGGCTACAATACATAATGTTCATTTTAGACTTGAATTACGCTACAAAATAGAGTAGCAGAAGTCTTTCTGATACTGATCTTCAGTGGAATTAAGAATTAGACTCATATATTTTTAATTAGTTTTTCAAGAAGCCAGCGATTAATTTTCTTAAGTGAGTGAAAACATCCAAAGTATCTCATGATGCTGCATGCAAAATTATTTGAAAAACAGAGAGATGAATCAGTGAAAAATCACTCAACTGCATCTTCAGCTGAAGATTCACTTGTCCTTTAAAATGCATAACCCACTTTGTCCTCCAGTGGATCCGTATAGCAAGTGTTGGCTAAAAAAAAAAACCTCCTGCGGAATAATATCCTTAACATCATACCACACCATTCATGTGTGCACTGCATTATCTAATTGAACTTGTGCTGTTCTACGCATTAGCTATAAGACCGCTACAGCAGGTTACATAGGTTTGAGTAGAGTGTTTTTATATGATGCATATATTAGTTAATTTCTCTAGCATAATAACATTAAAATATATTTTTAATCAGAACTAGGGTATTAAAATCCAACTTTGAATGTCCTGTGATGTACCATATATGCCATGGCATTTTAAAACCTTTTAAACATTTCTGCTAAATTAATTAGTTTTGCATTAAGGAGTCTCAATGCTTCCTATTAAACGCAACACATTTGAAGGACAATTAAACATTATGAACAATCCTTCTGAGGACATAACTATTAAGTAAAAAAGAAAAACAAGATTTTTTTGGGTAACAAACAAGAATACAAACATACATAAAAGGTTTCAATTTATTTTTAAAGTCTTAAGCCTGCAATATTTTAGATCCGTTTGTTTGAAAATCGGTCTTCTGTTTTGTTTTTGTAAAGAATGAAAACCCTAATGGAGTCCAGAAATCTGTTAATGGTACTAAAATTATAACAGTATAGCAAAGAAAAAAAAACCCACACAGTAAAGTCTATATTATATATTTTTTATGTCTTTAAATGGAATTTACAGTTCTCCCTGGCAATGTGAATGAACATCCTATAATTTAGTCAATTTACAGATTACAGGTTCAAATTGACCTTGTAGCCCATAAAATTGCTCATCTTCAGTGCAGGATTAGAAGTGGGAAAAGAATGTCATAACTGTATTTAAGGAATTTACCATAACAATGGAAAGGAGGATATGCATGCATAATTTTAGCCACTCTTGCTCACATCACAGTTTTCAATTCTGAAACAATGCATATCCTGCACTCTTCTCCTGGTTAACCATGGTGGAAACTGTTTCAATTTACTCACCCACAGACATGACACTTGTATTCCCTCATCCCGAGGTGCCTCTTGACATGGTTTCTGGCATCTCCGAGCTGAGCTGTTGCAAAGTGGCATATCTTGCACTTGAATGGCTTTGATCCTAAGTAAAATTTAGCATAAGATATGAGTTGCATTAGAATAATATATTACCCACGGTTAAAGAAATAAGAATTCCTGGGAAAAAAATAACCTTTAAAAAAGCCTATCCCACATTTACCCTGTTTGAGATTTTTGCCTAATAAAAAAGAATCTCGTACATAAATTTATAACTCTGGGGACACAGAGAGGGTGTATACTATACATTACTCATTAAAGTTTCCTTAGGTTCAAGATCACTGGAGCTACTTGCTTAACTTTTAATAATCATTTACTTTTTGTAAAGAGTATTAAAATGAGAAGACAATATGCTAGGAAGATAACCTTTCAATGAGATGACAAGTTTTCTACATCCTTCCCTGTTTCCAAATGCTGAAACTCAGGTAATGGTCTTAAAGTGGCTTGATGCTGGTGTAAACTGAAAAAGTACTTGTTTTTTAAGCAAGTATGTTTGAAGTAAAGTAATTTTACAAGTCTTCCGACTTTGAATAGATTTCACATTAGCATTGGTATTTCAGAATTGTTCTGTCACACACAGAAAATGATTCATCGCCTAGCTATTGTAATGACATGCAATGTATGAATATACAGGGGATAAAATATTATGCCTTTACGACTGTTTTATGGTCAAGAATTTATGATTATTCTGCAAACCAGAAGTATTGACATTTTGGCTATTATTTATTTCAAGAACAAACTTTAATATTAAATGCCTAGTGCAGACCAAAGAACTCTAAAATTATTTCTCCAAGGAAGCAGTACTAACCTATTTCTTATATCACATCAGTTCAGCAAAAAGTCAAATAATTTGTCATATTTAACAGTGGCCCTCTACTGAAGATGGAAAAAATACATTTTTACTGTAATAGTTAAATTTGGCACATGTCAGTACCTACGTTACTACACAGCAACATTATTTTAAAGTCTGTTGTAGCACTTTCCACTTTTCTGACCAGTAAATCCTTAAACCAATAAATCAAAATCATGGAATTGCAGTTAAAAATAAGTACAATATGTTCACAGATTCTCTGTATTATGTTTAGTATATGTTTTGCGAAGCACTTCTTCCAATACAGTTAAGCACAAGATGAAATATGTGATCTTTAATAAATATACATAAAGAGCTCTGATAAGAAAAATGTTACAGTATATCATACTTGATCAATGAACCTTTGTGCTGTGCCCTTGAAAACCAAATATCCTCCACGAATCCACTGGTGAAATTGAGGATCTTAGTAAAAAATTTTTAGAGTCTTAAATTTCAATTTAATTCCCAAAAGCTGACGAAAAATGAAGCATTTAATTTTAATCTTCTAACTGAAATAAAAAAGTCAACAGTACTAAGCACGGGCAGACAAGGTTGAATATTTCACAGTTCAATGACAATGAAGCCAGATCTCTTAATACTTCCATTTCTACTCTTGGAAGTAGATGTAAAATATATTTAGCACCTGAATGGTTATATCTAGTCAGCTTTATACGTTTAAATGTCAAAAGCAGGTTGAGACTGCAGCTAACAGCAATCACATTCTATCAATCACAGTGAAAAAAAACAGTTTATTTAAATGATCGCGAAAAAAAACTATATTAATCATTAATTTGGTGACATTTCAAATTAACACTGCATTCTATAAAGAGACCCATGCAAATAAGAGAGAGTTGATCTATGCATTAAATAAAGGAGTATTAAAGTTGATGTCTTAACTTGTGATCTTCAAGACTAATTACACAATTAATAATATCAAGGCCACAGTCAGAGACTTTTTTTTTTTTTTTTTTTTCCTAACTCTATTGGTGTTTATGCTGCTGTTTTATATCACAGAATTCAAATACCATGTGGATTCAACCATGGTACTTTTAGTTTCTCTCCTACTGATTAAATTGTAAATGTGTTCCTCATTCTGCTACTGCAGGTGTCCCGCAGGGCTTCTATACAAACCTTTGCTGTTTTCCATTTACATCACTCCTTTGTGGAAAAACTGTAGTTCAGGCCAATTGTGGCTACAGTGTGCTGACAATACATAGATGTATTATTCTGTTGACTGCTCTCATCCAAAAAATCACTGAGGCCTTCACTTCACTCCCCCCCTTCCCACACTTATACTCAGGGCTGAATATCTGTTAACATCTCCATTTAAATTCCATGAAAATCCAAGTGCTGGCAGGCTACAGGCAGTACTTATCACCTGAAACAAACACAGTGCATCTCCCTTTTAGGTCGCTGATGCCACAGTTGTTCCAATTTATTCTTCGATGCAACCAACTAAGATCTTATATTTCAGATGAAGGTGTTAGTCTAAAAGTTGAAGTAATGGGGCAAAAATCTGTATTGACCAAAAGGCTATTTGAAACAATATTGAAGCAATTAGCCATTTCTTAGCCATACTTTTATTTTCACAAACTTTAATGGTTCTCATAAACTCTGTAAAATGTGATACTATGGGCTTCGTTCTTGGCTCTTAGTTAACTACAAAAATGAGAAAAATGCTTTCAATATAGCATCTTTCCAGCCAAATCGCTTTTTTACCAAAAAAAAAAAAAAAAAAACCCACAAAATCAGTTCACCTGCAGGTTACAGCATAGAAACAAAACATATACTTTGTAATGGTAGCAGTAAACAATAAGGCTCTTAACAACAGAAATGGAAAAAAAAATAAATTTAAATTAGACTAAATTTTAGAGTTCAGGACTGACAGGACAAAATTCATGCTGTTGTTTTATGCAGAAAACTGGAGTTAATAATCCTAATTTTGTATTGAGACAATAGAGACTCAAAATTAAAAGAAAAAAAAAATCACCTCCTGAGTTTTAAGCCAACCAAAACTGACATCTGCATCTGCAGGAATATCTGTCTGTCCAGGTCAGGCCCAAAGCAAAGTGAGCACAGCCCCATGAAACATCATCATCCTATTTCCAGCCAGGCTTAGGATATGGGGAGTAAGATAGCATGCTTATATTGGACAAATCTTCTATTAATTGAGAAAACTGACGAGCAACTAAACAAGGATGATGTGGTTGCAGGTGATTTTTCCTCAGATGTTGATTGTTAATTAAGCTTTTGGGACCTGCATCAACTGCAGACTAAAAAGTCCTCCACCTCTACTACTCCTTTTATTTTTCTTTACGCTTTCCTCATTTTCACTTGTCAATGTGTGATGGACTTACTTGTTATCTCCTCTCTAGCAAAGTTTCCCTTTCATTTGCAACATGAACATCTCTTAGATTATTTAAAGGTATTTTGAAAGATTCTGTTTCTCTTACTGGGAATCATTAGTTGTGTCTTTCCAGCACTATCACCTCCCTCCGCCCCACAGACCATTACCAATTACTCAAATTAATTAAAAAAACACAACAGACAAAACCAAGGTGTTATATACAGTTATAGACATAAATGTAGACATTTACATTTGTATGTATGTGTATATACATATATTTATGTATATACACACAGGACTATCTCGAAGCTGAAGAAAGATTTTAGAAAAAGCACATGATCAGAACACTAAATGGCAAAATAAACTGTAGCCCTCCTCCTGTAATGAACCTGGTGTTACTCTGGAAGAGACGAGATAGGGTAGAAATACCGTACTTCTTCGCCTAGCCAACATTAGAAGCCAGTGCATACAGTTAGTGGTGTAGGTCCGTTTCCTCTGCCACCATTTCCAATAACCAAAAACCATTTATTTCTTTTTCAACTGCATCCATTGTCACGCAGATTAGAAGAAAAGTTTTTATAAAACGCTTAAGGAAATCACAAATATGAAAACAGGGATTGGAAGAGAAAGCCTTCTTCCCATTAATTATTAATAAAAGTCTCCATATTACTATTTCATGTGAATAAGCAAAACATCGGAAAAGCAATTTATTTAAAGGTGTGGTGAGAAAGAGCACAGATTAAAGCCTATTCTGCAACTCTTCTCTATCCCCTCCGACAGCACCACCAAAAAATCACTTGCAAAATGAGATATGGTCTGCTACCACTTTGCATATTTAGGGCCATTCCAAAGCACAATAAAAATATACTTCATGGTAAGACCTACACACAAGATGTTAAAAAGTACACTAACTTTTACTAAATGTTACAATCAATGATGTAACGTATGTAAGTAGGGTTGCTTTGTCATATATTGATAGTTACCTCACTTTCACATCCACATTAACTTGATTTTAAATGCAATTAATACATATAGTCAAGGAAGACTAATGGACTACATTCTGCACTTAACCTGGTGGACGTTTTCAAATGGCACAAGTGACCAGTGCAAACCTATTTTGCATTGTAAACGACTAAATAAATCTTAATGGATTAAGAATGATCAGCTATCAACACACAAGGGAAATTAAGTGCTGAAATGCCTACATTGATTATTTTAAATTATTAGCCTTACTCTGTTCTTGAATTTGTATGCTTTTAGTGAGCTTTAACACATTTACAAGACTTATTGACTATAATTACAAGAGAATTCAAGTAATGGACACATCAATTATAAGCAACATGTCTTGACCAGACAGTTGCATAAAGAATTCTAAAGAGAGCTCCATTAGCATCTTCCCCTTAGTTTTATTCAGTTTTATCTGCCATAAGAGGGCATATTAAGGGCTTATATAGCTGTTCTGACCATGTGAACATGAATGTCCCTCCCAAGACGTAACATTGCATTCAGTGTTAGATATTAGCTGCAACTATATAGATAAATACGTTATTGACAGCACAGAAGTAATGGTAAAAGTATTAAGTATGTGAATTATTGGTACACATGAATACTGCAGTTATAGTAAAATACTTTGAAAGATTTGAAATACAATGCCTATGTTCCTCACGATTAATTTTAAACTTTGTTGTCCAGTCATGCCCTTGCCTTTGTATAAAAATTTAAAGAAGTATTTTAGGATTATGCCAGGAAATACCATTCTTTTATGTCTCTTTTTCCTTACCTTTTTGTTCTCTTCCTTGTAACCATGCACTAAGTTTCAAATACTGCATGAATTTAAACTATAGCTTCCATAATAAGCCATTATTTAAAAGTACAGTAAAATAAACCTTACAGTTTTAATGAAAATATGTTCATTGAAATGTGAATTTATTATTCAAATCCACTCATAAATTCAACCATGGAGACACCACTTGTCTAAGCAGAGCTCAGTGATTTAGAAAAGCTGTCTATTTAAAATAAAGAATGTATGGCAGGTTTATAGAAACATCGCAGTGAATTTTTACATAAATTTAGAACTGCAGCTTATGCATTTTTCTACAAAAATGTTTTTAAATTTTCCACTTAAAATTAAACATAAAAAGGAAATGAAAGTGTAATCAGCCCAGAAACAAAATCAGATGCTACATCTCTGTGCATCACATCAACATTACACACTACCTTCCAAAAAGACTATTCCAATTCCCATAACTTATTTCTATGAAAAATCTTGTGGCTTATTATTTGTATTTATTAAGGAATGATGTAATGCTTCCAGATAGTAATTTGATATTATGCTATGCTGAAAGTGTAACTGAATCGAACCGAAATAAACTATTTAGACACTAAATAATGATAAGAAAGTTACAAAGAACGGCTAATTTGTTCTCTCACACCAGTACTGCTTCATTATATGAATTTAAGAACATATTAATGATTAGGTAACGGGAAGGAAATCTCTTTATATCAAATAAAAAGCAGAAGGACAACTGCACTTACAACGCTCTTACATCTTCTGCCATTTGATCACTGTATGTTCATGCTCCTTCACATACTTAATACTTATGTAATTTTGAATTTCATCAGTGGTTCATCAAGCTATATGAATGCCATTTCATAAGAAATGTTGGTGAGATTAACAGGCAGAAAAAGACCAATGGTGTAATTCACCATGTCTGAAAACAACCGGTTGCAAAAAGAGCATTTCCATACCTGTATGGGTACGAATGTGAGCTAGGAAGGCCATGGAATTGCTACTTCTACACATCTTCCCACAGTACTTGCAGATGTTGCCTTGATTCTCTTCCCTCTCTCTGTTTATTTGCTCCGTGTCTTCCACAATGTACTTGTTCACTTCCCGCAACAGTTCTTCGTGTTGCTCTTTGATATGGAGAAACAAGCTCTGCTCGGAATCAAAGGGCTCCGTGCACTTAACACATTTAAAGGTAGCGCCTCCTTCCGGCAGCTCCTCCACGCTTGCCTGCTCGTTTCGCAGGTGCCCGGCACTGGCCAAGTGCTGGTGAAGGTTGCTTTCTGTGTAAAATGATTTTCCACAGAGTAAACAATGAAAATGTTTTTCTTTTGAAGGATGTTTCATGGCTATGTGAACATTTAGTCCGCTCAAACCATCTGCTAGAAAACCACAGTCATCACAGCGAATTCGTGTTGATTCCCCAAGGGAAATTCCTTCCAATTTCTTCTTTTTCACACCGCTTGGTGACGTGTCTGCTTTCGCAGTGAGCTCACTAGCTTTCACTCCACCTGACATCTGCCCTTCATCAGAAGGGTCAGCAGTCTCCCCACCTGGATGGCTTTTTAATCTTACTATAGAAGAATCAAACTTGCCAAAATTCTGCATCATCTTTCCTTTATCATCAGCACTGATAACTGTTCCCAAAGCCTCATTACTACTTTCTTGCTTGCCCTCAGCTGTTGAGCCATCTGCCTCCCAAACACTGTTATTTATAGTTACTTCTGCTTCATGTTGTGCTTCCATAAGGGCTTCTTCCTCCTCCCCAGTAGGATCCTCTTCAAAACTTCTGTCACCCTCTAAACTATGTATATTTTGTACCATTCCCCCAATGTTTTCAGCAAAATTTGATTGCTCTCCTGCACTATTTGTTTCCGGAAGAGTTAGCGTAAGTGGATTATTTTCTTTTAGGGAAATTTCTTTGAGAACGTCTGTGCTTCTACATTCTACTTCAGGGTTTTCTCTATTTGCTTCCAAGCTTTCCTCACCTTTTCCTGAATTCACTTTTGTGTCACTTGATCTATTTTGATCTGCTGCAGTGCCATGGTTATCTGAGTTGAGCAGCTCCTGACCATGCCCACTTTTCTGCAACTCATTAGTACCTGCTTCTTTAACTGATACCTCCTTATCAAGCTTAGCAACTTTGTCTCTCTGAGGAGCTTTCTGGAATGCTTCACAGGAACGATTTTCGCCTTCATTTTTAGATTTCTCTTCAGGTTCAGCTTCTATTGTATTCTGGGAACTGCCTTCTTTAAGGGTTTCTGGAGATGCATTTTCATCTAGGACAGAACACTCAGTTAAGCTTTTACTCATGTGATCACCTTTTGCTGCATCTTTGGCATATTTTTTTTCACCTAAAACAGTTTCTAAATCTCCTGCACCACGATGATGCTCCTCTTGAGGCAAAGCAGCGGCTTCTTTAGTGATATTTGCTGTGTCTGCATCCTCCCCAGAGGCAGAATAAACGTAAGTTTCTCTTCTAATTTTGTGTTTCTCTGTTGCTGCATGCCGAATCATCTCTCTGCGAGTAACCGCATAGTAGTCACAAGCCATACAGTAGTATTCAAATTGTTTTGTATGCTTTCGTTTTACGTGCAGCTCTAAAGAAGCAGCAGAATGAGCAATGAAGTTGCAGTGTATACACTTGTCGTTTCCCCCCACTGTTCTTCTCTGGAAGCATGGGTCACCATCCTGGGTAACCCTAGCTGGTTCCAAAAATATACGTTGTTTTATATTTAAAGAACTTTGAGTATGTTCCAGAGCTGGTAGCCGATGGGCATTTTCAGCTTTTATCTCGGAGTTTCCTTGGTCAACTTCCTGACTTTCTATGACAAAATTTTCCGGATCTGATGACTGGCTACTATCCTCAACGTGTTCATACAGAACAGTTGTGCGGTTATTAACCTTCTTGCTTATGGATTCAAAATTACCTCCTTCAGGGCTAACAATGATCTCTGAGTTCTGTTTTCCATGTCCTTCTATTTCAACACGACCTCTGTGTTTTTTAGTGGCACAGTGACGTTCCATATCTCCTTTGGTTACAGTATAATAATTGCAAACCTTACACAAATAGCTGTATTGATGACTGTGCTTTCGTCTGATGTGAACAGTCAAATTTGTAACACTGGAGGCCAAAAGACCACAATGGGTGCATGTCCTAGAAATAGTGCCTTTGGGTCTCCCTCTTCTTGGTGCATTAGCTAAAACCAATTCATTTTCACCAATTCTTTCATCAGCTGGAACCCATTCCTTATTTCTTGATATGTTTTCCATAGTAGAGGAAGAGACATGTATAATTTCCTTATCTAACTCAGTATTCACACTCCCAGAAATGGAAGGCTCCATCACTCTTTTAATACCACCAACACCAACACAGACCTTTTCAATACATTCCTCAAAACGCAATCCTATATTATTTTTCCTGGCATTTTCAAGGTGCTTGCTTCTTTTGATATGCTTCTCCATTCCTTCCTTACTGAGTGAGTAAAGATTACATGCTTTGCAAAGGAAATGATATTCCTGTGCATGTCGTAGTTTTATGTGCCTTGTAAGAACCGTGGAAGATCTTGTCTTATAAAAACACTTTTTACACTGAAATTGGGTTTTACTCAAAACAGAATGCTTCAGTTCATTTCTGTTATTTATTAGGGAGGAATCTGGGGTTTTTGCTTTCATTGACACTTCCATATCCTTTGCAAGTTGTTGACTGTTGTTCGATTCCAAGGCAGCATACGTTACCACTTGCAAGGTCAGATCACTGTTACTCAGTGGAGGAGCTTGCTGATCGTGTTTTTCATCTTTTTGATGATTTACCAGCTCTTCTTCCGTTAGAAAAAAGAGAAGGCAAGTTGGACAACTATGAGACATATTATGCTCTTCACTCATATGACTTTGAAGGTTTATCACGTTCAAGCAAGTAAATGAACAAAGCTGGCAATTAAAGCTGCAACCTCCCATCTGATGTTTCTTGTCCTGACAGTGTTGCTTCATGTCTTCCTTGACTACACAGGAATAACTACATGTCTGACAATGAAACTGGATCCTCTTTGTATGAAGCTTTACAACATGAGCTTCCAAACTTTTTCTGGTCTGAAAAACATTACCACAATGACTGCAAGCATGACAAACATTATAATCAGCAGCAAGTTTCATTTGAGAATCTTTAGTGTCTGTAGTGCTGGAAGAAACTGTATTTGGCCTGTCTTGAGTAAGAACTTGAATTTCTGAAGTCGCTTCATGTTGATTTTTATCATGTGTTTCTAATTCTGTATGCAACGTAGGTCTTACATCGCCAGATTTAAGCTGCATGCTGGAGATAGGCTTCACGTGTACTCTCTGAGTATCAGACTTGCCTTTCTTACTACTACCCAACAAATTATATCTTCTTCTAACCTGCCTTTTTAATCTAAAAGAACTACTTCGCCTAAATGAAGTCTTTAGCAATACAATGTTTCTTTTATGTTCTAGTCTATCAAATCTCCTTGTCATGTTTAAACTGCTAACTAGCTTTTTGGTCGTTGGAGGGTGCTCCGATTTATGCAAGATGCCTTCCGAGGGTCCTGGTATTTCTAGCTTTCTAGTAGGGACTTCATGATTTTCTTCGACACTGGAAGAAAGCAGCATTTCCTTTGTCACAGTAGCTGGCTTTTCAGTGCAAACATTTGTAGACGGTATCATTTCAACAAGTTCAGTGCCATCATTTTGTTTAGACAAGCTTACTTTTGAACCTTTCAGCGTACTGCAAACATTGCTTAGTTCTCTTTTATCAGCAGTCCTTGTCCTTAATTTACTGGTCCCAGGTTTTGTTCTCACATTCCTCTCTCTGACTGCAGTAGACTGTTGTTTATTAAAGGATTTTTTTGTCAGTATCTGTACAAATCCTCCCCGCGCAGCCAGGTTTTGGCGTCGAAGGTGTGTCTTGCCAAGGAAGTGAGAGTTTAGGAGATTTTCCTCAACACTCTGAAAACCACAAAGATCACAACAAAATACCTTGGATTGCTCGTGATCTTTTTTAACGTGCGTGCATAATGCTGAGCTATGTTCTGCAGTGCAGCTACAGCGAGGGCATGTTTTCTCTTTGGGTTCTTTAGAGTGGCTTTCTCTTATACATTTTCCTGTATCAGAGCAGGAGGGGAAAAGCTGATCACACGTTTTGCCTTTAAGATCATTGCCTATGTTTCCAACAGGATAGCTAACACTGATTTCTTCTGAAGAAGGTATATTTTCAGGAACAGCAGCTGGAACCTCTTGTGAATGTTTATTTTCCCAGTGAATCTTCAATATGGCACCATCAGTACATTTGAAATCACAGCGTGAGCACATCAAATTTGAATTACATATATCATCACCAAGACAGCTGGTGACTCCATCCTTCTTTATAGCTCCATCTACTATACTAACTGCTTCTCCAACTTGGACTTTCTGCAGTTTCCTTTGACTATCTTTAACGTGTTCTGAAGAACTCAGCTTTCTTTTTCTGGAGACATTTTCAGGTCTATCTGCTTCAACAGTGACAGAGTTTGAAGATTCTGACAATGCCCTTCCATTTGTGTCATCCTCTTCTCTTTTCTTTTCAAGGTCCCCCAACACTTCACCTGATATGGGCCTTGTTTTCTGCTGAGATGAAGAGTCACATTCAGCATTTTTTCCTGATGCATTTCTAAGAGAGTCTTTTGTTAACACAGTTTGTGAACTCTCATCAGCATCGTCTCTCTTCTGATTATCCTCCCCATCCATTCTTAACAAGGATATTACCAATTGTAGATCATCTGGCTTAGTACCTATAAAATACAAGAGTTATTATTAGTCTTTGTACATACTCAAATGTTACAAGGCTCAAGTTAAAAAAGAAAAAAATAATTAACAAATTAAAATCACAGCAGAAAGACAAACACAATGAAAGAGACTAGACTGCATTTTCAGTAGGGTATCTCAACTTATGGCACCTAAAAATTAAACCAACTTCTAGGCAGGGGAGTACAAAGCTCCCTGTGATGAGCATCATGTGAGCGAGCACTGGCTTCAGAAGCTTTTTTTTGGTAATCAAGTAAGTGTTTAAGTCTTCAAGAAAAGATTACATAATTTAGCAGTGAGCATTGCTGAGCAATGAGACTCACAAGCGCTTAGCATCCCTAAAACGTTGTTAATTTTATTTAAGTGTTTAAATTCTTAGCATGCTTAACTTAGGCAGACAAGTCTGACCTTTGTTTCAGGAAGCATTTTTAGGATATTCTAAATATAACAGCTTTCAGGGAACCTGCCACGGGACGCTCAACTTTTCTTGAACTAGAAATCTCAGGATCCTAAATTTAAAAGCTCTAAGGAGAAAACGACCATGACTAAAACAAGCAAAACAAAACCAGCACAACATGCAAACACTGTAAGAATGAATCTTTCTTTTCTTCCTCTGCTTAGACATTCCACAGAACAACAGGAAAACAGCTGAGAGAAAGGGAGGCCGGTCGGAAAAAAAATGCTAAGCATATCATTCCCCACCACTCCGAAAATATCCTCTAGAAAATCATTTCCCAAAGAAACAAAGCAGACATGAAATAAGAGTCCAGAGAGGGAAAGCGTCTTGAACCTCAGCAAGAACTCTAACCATCCAAACTCTGTTACCAAAAGATTTTTCTCAACTGCCTAGTGCGACCTTCCTGCTCCCAAAGGGACATCACTCCTAGAAAACTGACCTACCAACAGAGTTTGGGGGAGGGAGGGGGAGAAGGAGTAGAAATCAAACCTTGACATTTATTACCTTTTCATTTTGATACAAAGCTATTGAGAATTGAAAATGCGTTTAATTTTAACAGATGATTAAATACAAAATGTTTATCTATGTGCTTTACACTATGATTTAAACATCAATTTGCTGCAGATCCAAGTATCCAGTTTTTTGTTCAGTTAGCCATTGAATGAGGCCATGACCACAATTGTAAGTACTTCCTGACAAGATTAAGTAATTGCAATGTTGATACAGAGTACAATACAGACAATACAGGATACAAAAAGCTAGTCAAGTACATGCCAAAAAAGGAAAAAAAAAAGGAAAAAAAACACAACACACTCCACCACTCATGCTTATTTTTGAGGCTAACGTAGTTCCGTAGTTCAAGAAGCTATTGAACTGGAAAAGTATACTCAAAATCAGATGGATGTAGTACCTATGGAAGTAACAACAATTTGCTTTCTTGCTTAATATTAATTTATGTAAGGCCTACAAGCAATTGAGTGCACAGCAGCTGCATACATTTAAGAGACCTACTTTTCAACTGCAGGTCTCATCAAGCTAAAGTACTGACCAAACTTACACCTAGCTACTTATACCTAGCTTTTTAAACGCGAGAATGAACACGTCCAGATCACAATAGGCCTTAGGAAGGATTCAGACATCACTCCTCTCTGTTTCTGTGATTCCTACACTGTATTATTTTCCTTTGTTCACTAAATCATGATAGAAACTATCACAATTAACGAACACGTGAAACAATCAGGGCTATATACTGACTTACACCAGCTAAGAATACTGTCAGTACCCTCAAAAATGCTGCAGCAGTTAACGCCAGATGAGAATGAAGCCTTTAAAGTGCAAGCTTACCCTGAAAAGGCTTATGAACGCTGCTGGGGACACAGAAAAAAGACCAAATGAAAATGATGATGTTTAATTGGTGTAAAGTGTTATTAATATAACTTGCTTAGGAAATACCAAGAAATTAGGTCAGTGATGAGTGCCACGAGTCCACCCCTAGCTATCTGCACGCAGCAGCCCTGGGCCCTTTGCCCCGCCACCTTGCCACAGCAGATCCCCAGCGCACCGCCAAGACCCAACTGCTCTTTGCCTGCATGAAAAAAACAGTTTCCTTTGCTGCACAATACAATTGGCGTTATCAGACCAATTCCCCAGCTTCTTTACCAGATACTTTCCCCTCAGACCATTTGATTTATTGGAGAACCTGTCCAGCACTGAATTAATAACCTGCTCTGGAAATTTCCACTACCATAGGGTGTCTCTGGATAACTAGTAGTTTCTCCATTGACAAAAATTCGCACATTCAGGCCTTATTAAGGAGTAGGGGATTGGTGGCTCCTCACCATATTCTCTTCTGACATTCTTCATGCCCATTTAAAGTCATCCCATAATTTGATTTAAACCTTAAAGTGCTGTCACACCTAGATCAACCTCTGACAGAAATCGCAAACCACTTTCAGCCAGAGCTACAGTAATCACCCAAGGTGGATGCTTTCCCAGCTGTCAGGGAGAGGTATCAGTTAGTCTCAGAACATGCCTTTTCTGCCATTCCGGCTCAGATTCAGCTCATTTCCAATAGCCACCCGCAAACCTCAAGAAAAATGGCTGATCATTTGCATACAGTACCTGCAAGCTCAGCCTTACTTCTCTTAATTTGTTCACTTCCTCTCCAACAGAGGTTCATCCTTCTCTGTGCTCTATCGAAAATCCCAGATTGCAAGGCTTACCCAATTCATTCAAATCAACTTTCACATCCAGTTCTGGCATCCAACCTTCAATTCAACTGTATTGCATCAATTAAAGAATTATTTGAACACTTCGGAAAAAAAAATATTTCTTTTATTTCATCTTTTTTAACTGGTTATAGTCACAACTGAGTTGCTAGACAAGACAAAAAAAGGCAAAACAAAATTCCATAGGTGGTGCTAATAATTTCCATAAATTCAGTAAGAAATATAGTCACATACATAATACAAATGTGCAAAGTAATCTCATGTCCCAGCCTTCTTACCTAATTCCACAATTCTACAAGTTGATAGTAAATGAAGACACTTTTCTCCACCTTCATTTCTTGATAAACCTTCTGTACCATGTGGACAGGAGATGCTCTCTGCCTCATTTATAGGCAGCACTCCTAATGAAGTCAACAGGCTCACATGTATTCCCATAACTAATAACAAGTATTATCAAGGCAGTAACTCCTAGACTGCACTTTATGAGTTAGGTGTAGTAACAGTTAGCGATACCCTTTTATCAATTTTGTCTCTACTTCATAGCTGAGTGTTCACGAAAATAATCTCCCCTTCCATATCCTTCCCAAGGCAGATTGGTCTCCGTCCCACTTCCATATAAACTGTGTCAGAAGATCACTAGTGGGAGTTCCCACCAGCATGAGCACCACATTCTAGAAAGAATTCTTTATAAAATAACTATGACTTAATTGTTTAAATTAAGTAATTGAAGGATAATTTTAGAGAGACAAAGGCAACTAATTTTCCTTACATTTCCTTTGGTTCTCTTAAAAGTTGCATTCAGGACAGAAGCACATCTTCTGAGGTAGATATTAATAGCTATCATCACTACTTTCTGCTGGGACCATAGTCACAGCAGTTTGCTGAGCTGTGGTCAGTTTCCCAAATTTCAGTTGAGCTCTAAACACAACGCTGAACCATGTCTCAGTTTCTCCCTACTTTGATCTTTGCTCAGCAACATAGTTGTGTCTCTAACACATGATTTTAGCAGCACATACCTCAGTTTTCTTGCTGAGATAGTAGTGCCTCACACACCCAAAGGGAGCTTTGGGCAGATCTCTTCTTAGCTTCCTGCATGGATTTATTGCACGAAATACCCACCTCTGTCTGAACTGTGACTATTATTACTTGAAGGATGCATTCAGCACACCATAAGCCTCCTCTAGGCAAGAGACGCCATCTCAGTAACGTTTTGCTTTTGCTCCCTATCGTTCTACCCTGACTGCAAGCTTCTCTCCTGAAAGCCAGGTACTTCTACCTTCTCAAATTTGCCACAGGATGAGAGGGGAACGGCAAGGGAACTGGCTGGTCATAAATCTGGGTGGTCCCAACCCTCAGCATGCATAAGACGATTCACTTCCGATCTCATCAGAGCTGCTGCAGTAATTATTACCAGCCATAGGCATCAGTTGTTAATAATATTAACAGCTAGCATCAGGAGCACTTTGAGGTTGTACAGACCTAATGATCACGTTTCAAATATGATACATAAGGTAAAGTGGATTTCTTTTTGCAGCCTTGGATCATACTGGAGTCTGGCACAGGGATCTTATCAGTAGCAGAGATTCTGCATCTGCATTTCAATTAAATCAACTGATAACAAAAGCGTGTATTAGACGTAACAAGAATCCCTCTGCAGCTATGGCAATTTAAGCACATGCTTAAAGCTAAGTCCTACTAAAGAGAGTGGCTAAATGAGGCTTCTGATACCAATTTTTTTTTAATGTTTGTTCTTCCACAGCTGTACTGGCACTGTAATGCTGGTAAACTCATCTGACAGCAGAAGTGGGGAAGAACGCTTCTTGAAGTTATAACTACCCAATTCATGGATCAGTGAGTCTAAAAAGATGGGAGGTCCGAGCTCTGGGGCTTTTCCATCTACCTTTACCTTTTAAAGATTCCAGTTAAGTTCTGAGAACTTAAACAAATATGTGAAGTGCAACAACACAAAACCACTTCATGTATTACACAAACATATCGGAAAGGATTTATATAGGCTCTCGGACAACACCAATGAAATCAGCAGGTGCTACGCAGCAGGCCACCAGGAACGCAGAATCAAGCCCAAGCAAAAGAGATAGCAGTCAAATCTTCAGTACTTTCTTTCCTTGAAACTCGGTTCTGTCAAACAGCTATCTCTTAATATCATATTTGATGTTCAAAATGAAGCTGTTCTAACTCAAAAGTGAGTTGACTTTTTAGAACATAAATCTTTTGTTAATGTTCATATAAATCAAGTATAGCTGAACAGATTCTTAAAGGATGACCAAAAATTAATTTAGCT